GAAGTTTTCACGTGAACATAACAGAATAAAACCACCTCACGAAGCAATCGTCATAAAAAATCCAGAGATCATGTCAGAAGTCTAAAAGCCTAGAGAAGTATTCTAAGAACGCAGAAGGAAAAAAATAAGAGCTGATTGGAGAAAGGAAAGAAATGAAAGAAAATTGAAGCTAACACAAGAATGAGTTTGAAATGAAAAGAATATAACACAATGGAGAACAAAAATGGCTAGAAGTGCAGTAAACCAAAGAATACAGGACTAGGAAAAGCAAGTTGAAAAGAATCAGTAAGAAAAATTACTGTTATCAAAGACAGGTGGGAATATCTAAGATGTGTATAATTGGAGCCCCTGAGAAAGAAAATGGAAATAAGCAACTAAGGCAGATATTAAGAATTATAATTAAAGGAATTATTTTTAGACAAAAAGTAAGACTTGAATATATTGGGTTGTCGGAAAAGTCATGACGCATTTTTGCAATAAAAAACATAGAAAAATACGTCATGACTTTTCCGACAACCCAACATAGCTTCAAAGGACACTATATTCTAAAAATAACACAGAATGGCCAGCATGACACACCCTAGTAAATTTACCAGATGTTGAAGACAAAGGGGGAATCATTTGGGCAGCCAAAGGAAAACAATTCAAGTTCTGGATATGGTGAGGAGGAAGCTTCAACAAATGCCAACAGATAGGCAGCATTGCCTACAAAGTCTTCAGGGATAGAAAACATGGTTTAAAAAATAAGAAAACATAAAATATGGTTTAAGAACTTTATTACCAGCCAAACTACCATTTGCATTTTTGAACACACAAGAACTTAGGATATATTACTCCTCAATCATTATTGAAAAATCCATTGGAGGAAAACTTCAGCCCACCCATAAAAATTACAGCAAAAAGACGTGTTGAGGACTGAACCTATTGAACAATGGGACCAAGACTAAATGTCATGTAGGGATAATGGTTACAGAGCAGAATATACATTTTATTAACCTTGACAAAAATTGGGAAAAGTAAAGGGATAAATGAGAACAGGTGGTATAAATACAGTAATTTTCTCATTTTATAGGTAATAATGATGAATTAAGCAGAAGTGTAACAACAAAAGTAAACACTAGCCAAGACTATACCATAAACTGAAATTGGGTGGTAGAATAAAGGGGAAAAGAAAAAATACACTAATTTTATCATTGATTGTAATAGACAGTTGATCGATACTATTTAAAGAAAGAGGAGATTAATAGTTATTACTAGTTTTATAGTTAAAATAATTACTAGAACACAAGTATAAGCTTCCAAAAGTATTAAAACAAATACACACAAAAACTAAAACAAGGGACCATATTCTTTAGTATATAAAGAATTTTTAAAAATACTAACAAAAAACCCCCCATGCCCTTTACATTAAGCTGATTATAAATTATTGTAGATATTGCTACTTTCCTACGTTAGATCAGCAGTG